TTTTGGGGGGGGGGGGGGGGGGGGGGGGGGGGGGGGGGAGAGATTCAGGAGCGTGCTTCGAATGGAGCTGCCCTCAAAAACCGAGGGTCGATGAATGCAAACAAATCCTCGGGTATGAGTCACTAATCCCGAACTTATGGTCGCGAGACGGGACGAGAAAAATTCTCTCGGAAAAAACAACGCCGTCTCGCAACTCCGCCTCGATCGATACCCAAACAATGCTTGCATTCCATTGTAAAATACCATCCGGAGTTATTTATGCGAAATATAATATTATAGATTTACCCCCTCCACGATGCAACGTTGCATCGATGCACACGCTGCATCGTTACGGTCAAAGTATTGTATTACTCTACTATAACCGGGTTCAAATTAAAGCGTTAATAATTTGGGATAGATTAATATTTTGGAATAGATTCGAGTTTATTAACGCTTCAAACTTGAATCTATTTCAACTATTAACGAATCTATTCCAAAATATTAATCTATTAATATATATAATATTATTATATATTATATAATAATTAATAGATTAATATTTTGGAATAGATTCGAGTTTATTAACGCTTCAAACTTGAATCTATTTCAACTATTAACGAATCTATTCCAAAATATTAATCTATTAATATATATAATATTATTATATATTATATAATAATTAATAGATTAATATTTTGGAATAGATTCGAGTTTATTAACGCTTTAAACTCGAATCTATTCCAAAATATTAATCCTGTCTCTTATACACATCTAGATGTGTATAAGAGACAGGATTAATATTTTGGAATAGATTCAAGTTTAAAGCGTTAATAATCTCGAATCTATTCCAAAATATTAATCCTGTCTCTTATACACATCTAGATGTGTATAAGAGACAGGATTAATATTTTGGAATAGATTCAAGTTTAAAGCGTTAATAATCTCGAATCTATTCCAAAATATTAATCCTGTCTCTTATACACATCTAGATGTGTATAAGAGACAGGATTAATATTTTGGAATAGATTCAAGTTTAAAGCGTTAATAATCTCGAATCTATTCCAAAATATTAATCCTGTCTCTTATACACATCTAGATGTGTATAAGAGACAGGATTAATATTTTGGAATAGATTCAAGTTTAAAGCGTTAATAATCTCGAATCTATTCCAAAATATTAATCCTGTCTCTTATACACATCTAGATGTGTATAAGAGACAGGATTAATATTTTGGAATAGATTCAAGTTTAAAGCGTTAATAATCTCGAATCTATTCCAAAATATTAATCCTGTCTCTTATACACATCTAGATGTGTATAAGAGACAGGATTAATATTTTGGAATAGATTCAAGTTTAAAGCGTTAATAATCTCGAATCTATTCCAAAATATTAATCCTGTCTCTTATACACATCTAGATGTGTATAAGAGACAGGATTAATATTTTGGAATAGATTCAAGTTTAAAGCGTTAATAATCTCGAATCTATTCCAAAATATTAATCCTGTCTCTTATACACATCTAGATGTGTATAAGAGACAGGATTAATATTTTGGAATAGATTCAAGTTTAAAGCGTTAATAATCTCGAATCTATTCCAAAATATTAATCCTGTCTCTTATACACATCTAGATGTGTATAAGAGACAGGATTAATATTTTGGAATAGATTCAAGTTTAAAGCGTTAATAATCTCGAATCTATTCCAAAATATTAATCCTGTCTCTTATACACATCTAGATGTGTATAAGAGACAGGATTAATATTTTGGAATAGATTCAAGTTTAAAGCGTTAATAATCTCGAATCTATTCCAAAATATTAATCCTGTCTCTTATACACATCTAGATGTGTATAAGAGACAGGATTAATATTTTGGAATAGATTCAAGTTTAAAGCGTTAATAATCTCGAATCTATTCCAAAATATTAATCCTGTCTCTTATACACATCTAGATGTGTATAAGAGACAGAGTTGGAATAGATTCGAGTTTATGAACGCTTTAAACTCGAATCTATTCCAAAATATTAATCTATTATAATATATTAATCTATTAATCTACTATATAATATTAATCTATTAATTATTATTAAAAAATATTAATCTATTCCAAATTATTAACGCTTTAATTTGAACCTGGAATAGATTCGAGTTTAAAGCGTTCATAAACTCGAATCTATTCCAACTCCAGAACCGTGTCATTTTACAGATTTATTACACACACATCCGATCTATCAATTTCTGCAGCTCTTACATTTGCGGAAGAAAGTCCGACATAAAGAACTGTCGATTGACATTCCCCAGTTTCCGATGAACAATGCTGCGGCGCACACTAAAGTTGTTTATTTTGGAAACAGAGTTCCGCGAAACAGCGTGTGTCCATGTCCGTTAAAAGGCGTGCGCGATTCGCTGCGATTAAAAGCGTCGCGCAATAATGGGTAGGTAAGAATAGTCCTGGAAAGGTATCGGACCTTCTGAGAACCCGATAATTAACGGGAAACCGCATTAGCCAGCCGACCAAGCGTCGCCCTAACTACCCATACGCCGCTGTCCGTTGAGTAAACAAATTCCGCGCAATTCGCAGCGAGGTGTAAACAACGGGAGGAAGCTACGGCAGTTGGTATGCGGAAACGGGAAAACGCCGAAAGAAATGGTACATACAGCATCGCACGCTGCTAACAAGCCCGACTACGAGTGTACAGGATAAATATTCCTACACCGACACGACATTCGTTGTCAGCTGTCAACAATCGTTTTGATACTACGTCAAGCTACAAATTATTCGAAAACATTTCACTGGTGCACGGCGTTCCGTGAACGCGCTAATGGAAATTTATGGTACGAAAAATTGTGTACTACTACGTGGGGATACTGGAAGGCGTGGGATACACGAAGATTTTTTTTTGTCTATGTGTATCATGCGTTTGCCATGGGATCTCGTAGAGAAGCGCATCGGGAACGGACGATCGAGCGCACGAAATATTTATCGAACGCGCGCGTTCGATGGCATCGCGACCGAGATCCCGTTCCATGGGATATCACGGTTCGGATAGGAGGAGATGAAAACGGTGTCGGAGAGATCGTAACAGGAATCGAGAAAGATGAAAGGAACAGCACTCACCTCGGTAGCGGCGTTGCATCCCGCGAGAATGACGGCCGTGCTGATCAGAATCCAGTATATCCTCGGTTGCATTTTGTCCTCTCTGGTTGCCGCTCTGTGGGCCCGTTCACGAGCCCCCTGCCTCGATCGACACCGCGCTCACCGCTCCCGAAAACCCAAACGAAAAAGGTACGCCGTACGTCCAAGGCAGGAACAAACCACCAAAAAAATCCACCGGAGCAACAACGCGACACACACCACACTGATCGATGAACCGCGAGACACTGAGGGCGCGTCGATCGGCCGCTTTCGTCGCTCGCTGTCGCCGCCATTTTGCAACGAATGCGCGCGCCGCGCAGCGGTGAACATTGAAATTATTCGCCAGCGATGCCGCGCGAAATTCAAAGCGTTCCTACTACAACACCCTCTGTTCTGTAAAATAAAACAGAAACGTTAAAACGCCCGTTCGAACTTGAATTTTCTCTATGAAGAGTTACCTGAAGGCGGATTCAAACGAAGCCAGCGACATAAGAATGGTTCTCCTTTATATTGAATCTATAAACTTGTACGAAGAGTTATAATAACGTCGCTCTTTTCTCTTGAAAAGTTCATGTATATTAAAATGAGCATATTAAAATGAACTACAATTAGATGAAATACATAAGGAAAGGTTACACGTATTTTAGTAATCTTTCTGTACATCGATTCAACTGTATGCACATTACAAATACATTTCTTATTAGAAAAACAAATTTTGTCATGGCCATTTGGTAAACGGAATAATGTAATATAAAATGCATTTGGTAGACTGGTACAGTGACTATGATAGTCGAAGATTAATCATCAGATAAATAAACAGGACTTTATTTTTTATCGCTAGCCGATAAATCTTTTTCGAGACCTTTCAAAAATCGAAGATTTTCGTTGATGTTGCGATTATATTCGTCCACCTTATTTCGCATTGTTTTAAGTTCATCCTGCATGCATTTCACCTCCTCTTGCAATTTCTGTTTTAATATCTCTAGTAATTCTTTATCCTGAGAAATGTGATTAATTAAAATCTTTCTTTTAGTGGACTGTTACTTTTCAAAGACACTACCTGTTTGTAATAATAGTCGACTTCGAATGCAATATTGTCACTTGGTGTTTTGTTACTATTGGAATCGCTGTACTTACTCGATAAGAATCTAGAACTAATTTAGAAAACGAAATTCCTTTAGCGATTACATTCGATAAGCAGACTTAACCATAAATGTTAATATTCGCAGTCAATACCGATTTAAGAGGCATATCGTACCTAATGACTTGAGACGTTAATGTCCGGAAAGTGTGTCGCAACATTTTGTGCGGTGAAAAGAGAAAACATTAATTTTCACGTAGAAATAGTAGTTTGAACAGTTAATATGTGACAGAAATTTTGTCGGTTTCTGTCGGGAACAGCAAAACAGTTGAATACGAATGACAGCGGAAAAATAATCGATGTTTATTGGCCGATTTCATGCGCAATATAATAAACTAGCTTAGTATACTTTGGTATGTCAAATACACTAAAATAAACGGCTGCCTTTTTTTTATTTAATAAGTAATAAAATCAATGATAGTTTATTATATCACTTAACATTGTAATCAAAAAGAAAAACAAGTACAGTCATGATTATATCTACCGCTGCTACTATCTTCAAAGCTTAACATCTATATTGTTATGAAGGACATTTTGCAGGATTTTTGGAACGGTGCACCTTATGCAACTCAATTGTGGTTCATATCTGTGATTCTCTGTTTGTGGCGGTTTATGGCTTCTTGATGACGCTTGATCTGTTCCTCATGGAACGAGATCTCATCGTGGAGGTCCTCTTTTAGTTTTTTGAATTGTTCCTTTTGCTAAAACAAAAGGATATTACATGTAGGTATTTGCAACCTAACAGAGACTATAAAAAGATACTTTAATATGCCACTGCTGCATTATAGCAACTAACCAGATTATAGAAATACTGATCTTCGTGGGCCGCTTCCATCTTACCAAAGGATCCACCTGCTTCACGGATAGTACCACCACCACCACCGCCTTTGCCAGCTCCAGATCCACGTTCTCCACTCATTCTTGCATGGCTATAACACCCGACAAAACAGCTTAATTAGTGCCTTCTAATTTGTACTGCCAACAGATACTCCAAGATGGCACTGACAAAGTTAAAAATACCTAGTGTGCGCTTATATCTTCAACGCATTTAGTTGCAGTACGCAATTGATTAAAATTCTGTCACAATATTGTGCAGGTATTACATAATTTTCATGTACATATATAGACAAATTCCGACAAGTATCGCATGCCGCAAAAGAAAAAGTTTCCAGTGAAATCTCAACAACTCGTATACCGATTATTTGTACACACTGTTACGGAAAAACAGTCGAGGAATGTCAAAATTGAACGTGCAGACCGTGCGACCGAACAATGTTACAAAAGAACGCGATAAAAGCCGGGCTCGAATCGAGCGGCGCGGTGCAGTGAAAGAACAATGAATACGCGTAATTTATTTATTTAATTATATACAAATATCGCGAAACGTGTTCTTTTATACCTTAATGAAGCCATGTTCCGTGAGAATTTCACAACAACAGCGCGTTGCATTGTTCCCGATAGAAAATATTAGAAACAAGTGCTGCGGGTTAAAATAGAAATGAGGAATCGAAGTCGTTGTACCGATGTATAAGATAGAATGTAGACTGCGGCTATATTTTGTTCCGGAGGGGGTACAGTAAGCGCAAGAGGTCTTCGTGTCGCCCTCTCCAGCAGTAGTTTCGCATACCAGCATGGTGGCGCTCGCAATGGCGGCAATATTAATTCAAATTCTTCCGCGGAACCGTTCGATCCCATTTCCCGCTGCATTTCTCAACACGATATACAAAAATACAACACTTTCTCGTGCACAAGCGACAAATAAATCCGTACAAGTAATAACAAAAACTACAGCACTGTTGCATCGGATAAATCAACGATGGATAACTCAAAATTTAAACGAAGTTACAGGTACAGCGCTCTATACAGGGTGAACGAAATTACTTAATCATTTCGTTCAATCTGTACGATTTATAATTATCCTCGTTAGTTATCTCACGTCTCATTTTCTCGAGGCGCGACACTAACGAGACAAAATTACGTGAGAAATAAAAATGCTACCTATTATTGTAGTCCGCCGCCTGTCTCTCGGCCAGCTGTCTCTTGATTTCCGAGGTCTTCAGCTCGTTCATCGCTACTTGCTTCCGTAGCTCGACAAGGTCCAGTTCGGCGTTTAACACATGGATCTTCAGCGTGCGTCGTTGACGATCCAGTTGATCGATCTTATCCTCGGATTGATCGACATTGTTTGCCGGTTGATGAACATTGCCCTCCGGTTGATCGACACTGATCTCAGGTTCATCGATCATGTTTACAAATGGATCGACATTGTCCTCAGCCTGATCGATCCTGTCCTTCGAACTTTGCACCTCGGAGGGTTCTAGCAGACGAGAATTCGATTAAAACCAGTTCCGATTACTACCATTAATTATCCGAAATTCACCTAATTTGGAAACCACGATGTCCTCGACGTCCGGATCGTCCAGATTCCTCTGGGAGAAGCCGGCCTGGTTCTCGTCGACGGAGTTGCACTCGTCGCTGTTTATTTCGATTTTGATCGTGTCCGCTGGCGTTTTCGGCGTGGACGTCGCCAGATTCTCCAGGGCCGATTCGTTCATCGAGAACGACGTCGAGTTCACCGGCAACGACGTCGAGTTCACCGAATTCGTCGGCAAGTTCGTCGACGAGTCCGCGGTGTGCAGATTGTGCTCGTACGAGTAGCAGTTACGTTTGCGGCTCTTGCCCATTAATTTCCAAACCTCTGACGACAGATTCGATGGCAGATACTTCTCCGCGCGCGCGACCCCCAATTTCTTCACCTGGGGACGCAACGGAATCGCTGACAAAAAGAGATCAGTGATCTCTTTTAACACTAAATCTACCGGTCGCTAAAAGTAACTTATGTGAATTTATTTATATTATATTATTTGAATATATATATATAATAATAATAATAATAATAATAATAAAAATAAATTCACATAAGTTAGTATATATTCAAATAATATATATATATATATTATTATATTATATATATATATATATATATATATATATATATATATATATATAT